CCAAAAAAAAAAAAAAAAAAAAAAAAAAAAAGAAAAAAAAAAAAAGAAAGGGAGAGACCTTTTGATAAATCGAGCTCGGTACCACCCACCGCGCGCGAAGCAGGCGCAGCAGCGAGCAGCCGCCCTTGCGCCACGGCGTCTTCGCCGGCGCGTCGCCCCGCACCCACTCCTCGCGGACGCCCCAGCTCTGGCGCACCTCAGCCGGCGCTGCGCGAAGCAGCGAGCGGCAGCGCTCACTCACGCTAGCAAGGCCGAATGCCACCGCGGCAGCCACCTCCATCACCCCCACCGGGTGGGCAAGCTTCTCCCTCCGCCGCCGGCCCACGCCCCACAGCGCCAAGAGCAGCCCGTCCAGCGCCGCGAGAGGCTCGAGCGGCTGCAGCTGTGGCGGCGCGGCGCTCCTGCCGGCCGCCAGCGTCGCAGCGCGATAGCTCTTGACGTCCGCCTGCAGATCATCGTCCAGCGCCAGCCGCTGCAGGCTCGTCTCCAGTGACTCCTGAGCGCGGTGACGCCATGGCAAGACGCCGGCAGCCGGCACGGATAGGAAGAGCCGCAAGGCGGTCGCCGAGGCGCACGCGTTGGCCAGCTCGTTCGGGTGCGTCACATCCAAAGCCTCCACGGCCGACGCACCAAACGTTGCGACCGCTTCTGGCCAGCTCGGAAGCGGCGGCGCTGGATCATCTCGCAAAATGAGAGCCGCCTCGGTCTCGGCGCGCCAGGCCTCGGCATCCTCGGCAGCTTTCGCCGCGGCCCTCTGCGCCTTGGACAGCTTTGGACGTCCGCCCATTTTTGGCGGGCGACAGAGGTGCTGCGCGCAGGGCCACAGGTACAGGTGCAGGTGCTGCGCGTTACGCGTTACGCCACAGCACAGGTGCTGCGCGTGAGAAGTTGGCGCGTGGATGGGTGCGATGTAAATAAAAAAATATTTTTTGCCGGACGAGCCTGTTGTGTCCAGGAGAGCCCCACCTGTGCCCCTGATCGTCCTTCCAAAATCCTGCTCGTGCAGGTGTGGACCCTGTCCTCCTCCGCCCCCATCCCAAAGGTTGGATGTTTTCTTTCTTTTTTACAGAGACACAAGCAGGCCTCCTAGCTGGGATTGCCTCTCCCCACCCCAGTGCACAGACACAAGCATGGCCCTTTCCCGACGACAAACCTTCTCCTCTACGCACGCCCGTATAATAACTCATCCTCCTCCTTCCTCCTCCCACTACTGGTACGGAGAGAGAGAAGGCCAACATCGCACATGGACATGCTCTACCTTGGGGCTCACGCACCATCTACTGCGGGCCTTGGGCGACCAGAAAGAGGCAGATCGCGGCCGTGAACACGACCTCGACCAGCGGCACCGGGCCGAGGAAATGTGAGCCGGCGACGTCGATCTCGTCGTCGTCGTCCTCGTCGTTGACTTTGGCCGCTGCGGACTCCTCCTCCCACATCGCCGCAACGAGGAGGGCGAGGAGGCAGATGCCCACGACGGGGGCGCCCTCGGCTACGAGGGCCGACGAGGAGTCGATCTGGGCGGGAGGGTCGGCCGCCTATGGCAAGAAAAAGGGCTGGGAGAGGGGCTTAGTGCACGAGCAGGCGTCAAGCGGCCGCCTTTGGCTGGAAGAATGGCTGGTGCGCGAGGGCGGCGGCGACAAAGGCGGAAGCGACGCCGTGCACTGGGATGCGGTCGGCCGGCAGCGGCGGCGAGGCCGTCCCGGTCGACGTGGCGGAGTCGCCGACGCTGGAGACGGCGGAGAAGAGGTGGATCAGCACGCACGCGGCGAGGAGCGCGACTCCGATGGCGCCGAGGTGGGGCGCGGAGGCGGTCTGCAGGTCGATCGACCGCGTCGATTTCGCCAGGAAGAAGTCGCCGATCCGGCTGGCCGTGATCGTATGCAGGAAGGGTGTGCCATCGGAACGGTAGTTGACGAGTGTCGTCCCGGCGCGGCCCTCGCGCCCGTACACGCGCTGGGTGAAGCGAGCGGCCTTGGCAGCGTCGGTGCGCTCGCCCGCGAGGATCTTGGGAGTGGCACCGATCGCCTCGGCACGGTAGCCGCACTGGTCTTGCCAAGCGACGTTCGCTGCCACGATCACATTGGTCTTCCGGTCGACCAAGATGGCGGGCGTGCGGCAGCTGAGGCGGACTCGGATGTGGTTTGGTGTTGCGTGGAAGCTATCCTCCGCCCAGAGCACGTCCTCGACAGTGACGACGGTGGTCGCCTAGAGTCAGGCAGGCCACACGGTGTCAGGGTGTGCAGGCCACACGGTGTCTGGGTGTGCAGGCCACACGGTGTCAGGGTGTGCAGACGAGGACTGAAGGGTGGTCACCATGTTTCGTTGTGATTAGAATTCTTAGACACAAGCCTCTCTCACAGCACACTGGCACGAAATCTAAAACTACAAAAAGAAGCGTGTGTACCAACGTTTCGTTTCGTTTCTTTTTTTCGTTTCCTCGTTTCAGCGATACACGGATACAGCACAAACAAAAAAACAACGCACGCTCGGGGAGCGCCGGAACTGGTTGCCCCCCACCCGTCGAACACGGGCGTGTTCGACGCGTGTTCGACGCTCAGCCCCCGTGTTCGACGGGGGTGCTGGACGGCGCGGGGGGCTTGCCCTCCGCGCCGTCCGAGGTTGCGGGGATGGCTACCAACCAAGCCGTGGGCGCCGGACCATCGGCCTCCACGGCGGCAACGTCGTCAGCAACCCCAGCTCCTCTATATGTGCCGCACACTTGGCGCGGCGTGCCCTATGGAGCGCCGGCGCTGCAGGCGACAAAGCACCGGTTCCCTTGCATTGGCGCGAGGTGTGCCGCTCAGTCGATGATACACGACCCGCCGACCCTCTGCCAGCCCTACTTCGACTCCAGTCGCGAGCCCGGGGACAGGTGCCGCTTTCAGAGGATGTGCGGGGCGTGTTGGAACGCTGGCGCGCAGCTGTGGTACTCGGCGGCAGAGGCGGCAGAGGCGGCTGCGACTGCAGCGGCGGCTGCGAGCGCGGCGGCCATTAGTGCGGAGCTCTACGCGATCCCCGATGCAGTAGTGGATGCCGCGGTGCGGCAGGCAGAGGGAGGCGAGGCGGCGGCGGCTTCAGACGACGACGCATTGCCGCCCGACGACAGCTATCTTGCCGCCGCGTCGGGGGACGAGGCGGAGGACGCCGAGCCGCTGCCGCCGCCGCCGCCGCTACCACCGCCGTCTGACCAGCCGCAGCCGGCGCCCCTCGTCGTGCCACCCCCGCCGCTTCCGCTCACCGATGAGCAACGGTCGGCCGCACCAGTGGCGTCACCGTCCCATCTCTCCACCGCATCTCCGCAGCCCGAGCCGGAGTACATGTCGACGGACGACGAGCGTGGCTTGGCCAAGCGGATCTGGACCGACTGCTCGGACCTCGTGCCTCGGCCACGCTACGACGGAACACTCTCCTCCGCCGCGGGAGCGGCGCTTGGTGGCCCCGACGCCGCCGCCGCTCTAACTAAGTTGCGCAAGGAGATGCCGGCGCTTCCGCACATCAAGCCTGCGCCGGCGGAGCAGCGGGCTCGAGCGCTTTACGTCCACGCGGGCGCGGGCAGGTGGACACCGGAGCTCAAGAAGCAGGCGCGCAGCTGCTTTGAGGCGGAGGCGGCGGCGGTGGAGTGTGTTCTGTGCATTCCCGAGGTCGTGTGCCGCGAGGAGCTGATGGAGACGCCGCAGTTCCAGGTGAAAGAGGGCGACGCCGTCGTCGGCTGCAAGTGCGGTGGGTGCAGCCCCCCCGGGTGGCCCAAGTGATGGCCCTGATCTTGACGGATATGACGCCGGTGCCGCGACCGCCCCGGCGCGGAACCGGCGGGGCACGCTGGGAGGGGGAGCAGACTCGTGCGATGGTAGAAGGAGTATCCGATGGAGTGCGGTGGGTGCAGCCCCCCCGGATGGCCCAAGTGATGGCCCTGATCTTGACGGATGACGCCGGTGCCGCGACCACGGGACATGCGGGGAGGGTGAGCTGACTCGTGCGATGGGGGAGAATGGGTTGGTTCTTGCCATGATGGCGTGAAACGCAAATTAACGGGTTGCGACACGTGATCGAATGGTTTTGTCTCTGTATATGGTATGTTCTGTACTTATTTCTTATTTGTTTTGTTGTAAAATTCTTATTTGTAGCTCCCATGTGTCTCTGAGAGACTGACACCATCCTGCTAGTGCTCTCTCCTCTCTCTCTCACTGTGTCCGCCTCTGGCTCTGCTCACTTCTTGAACACCAGCAGCCGATAGTCCTGCGCGATCACGAGCTCGCCCTTCTCGTTGAGCCCGAACGCCTTGGCGTGCTTCTCGTACGTCGCCTTCGCCTCCTCAACCTTGCCCATCTGCGCGAGCTTTGGCAGCGCCATGATCATGCCCAGCTTGAAGGAGAGGTCCTCGCCGCCTCTCGCCACGCCAAGGTTGAAGTCAAACGGCACGAGGCTGTTGTGGCCACTGGCCAGCGTGAGGCCGGCGTCTGCAATCAGCGGGTCCATCCGGCCGCCGGCCCACGCGACCGGGTCGAAGGGCATCTGAAACGGCTCCCCAGTCACCTCCTCCATAGTCTTCATGCACAGGTCGCACATGTTGACCTCCTCCCAGATTGTGGCGATGCAGGTGCCGCCCGGCTTGAGCACTCGGCTGATCTCGGAGAGGGCCTGGGACGGGCCGTCGACGGGGATGTGCAAGCCGAGGCTGCACGTGACGAGGTCGATGCTCTCAGATGCAATCGAGGAGAGATCGTTAAAGTCCAGCTTGGCGACCGTGACCTGGTCACCGAGGCCATTCTCAGCCACACGCTCCTGGGCTTGCGCGAGCATGCCGTCTGTGAAGTCGCTTGCGGTGACGCTTGCATTCGGAAAGGTCTTGGCGAGCGTGCACGCCGGCTCGCCAGGTCCACACGCAAGGTCGAGGATGGTCGTTGGCGCAAGGTTAAGCTTGACCGAGGCGTGCTCCGCCATGTGCTTCCACATCGGCGTGATTTGCATCGCAGCGATCTTGTAAATTGATGGGAGCTCTTGCATGAGACTGTTCATGGCGGTGGCGTTGCTGCTGCTGCAGCCGCGCATTCTTTTGTTCATGGCGGCGACGTTGCTGCTGCAGCCGCGACGGGCGATGCGCCGCGCGGTCGACGAGAGCATGTGTCAAGGCGGCGAAGCCAAATCAGGGTGGGGGGATATTGCGTTCTTTTTTTCGCGACATTTCTTTTTTAAATACCAAAAGGAGGGCTACACGAGGCCCTCTGCTGTTCTTCACCTTCCTACCTACCTACCTGTTAGTGCCAGTGGACATTGCCTCTTTTTTCGTTTGCTGCACGCCCCCAGGGTACCCTCTCCGAGGAAGGTCTCGCCGGGGCTCTGCTGAGTCTGCTCCAAGAGACCTCGAGAGAGGCGTGCGTGTGGCTCTCGCCAGACCAGACACCAGTGTTCTCAATGTAAAGAATCCGCGTAAAAATCTGCTTTCTTCTCCACGCCCCTCTCCAGCGGGCCCCTGCACACCGCCTCCGCAATGCGCCTAGAGCCTCCCAGCTTTGGTATTGCACTACTTCAGGCCTCGCGCGGTTTCGAGAGAACTCTTCCAGATCGTCTGCGCAGAGAGAGCGGACGAAGAGTCGCCGCGCTTTGAAAGTGGCGGGGCGCAGTGCTGGGAAGGAGCCCGTGCTGTGGGCGTCCTCGCCGGGCATATGCTACCAGGTCACAGTAGGGGTTCGGGACGGCATACGTACGTACGCGCGAAAAGATGGGCGCCCCCATTTCTTTTTTCACGCTCTTCACGCCCCCTCGCATAAGCCCTCAAGCTGAAAATAAAAAGAATTTTACAACAAAAGAAACGGGTCTGCGCCGCGGCTGTCGGGGCCGGGCAGGGCTGGAGACGGGCACCAATCTAGACGGGCCCGAATCTCGCCATGCGCTCCACCTTCTACCGCGGCGCGTACGCCAATAGCGGCGTCGTCGGCAGCATCGCCGTCCGCACCCTCGCCAACAACGCTCACGTTTCCGCAGCGCATGCGCCGAGCAGCCTCCGCAGCGACTCGCCGCTCAGCCAAGACATGGCCCTCCGTGCAGAGTACCGGCGGTGGCGGCGCGGCGGCGGCGGCGGCGGCGGCGCGTCCTCGCTGGGCGCGCGCACCCCGCTCTGCGGGGTGGCCGCCGCCACGGCGCACCCTGCCCCCGCCCCCGCGGACTCCTCGGCCTCCGCCCCGTCGCTGCCGCGTCTGCACCGCGACTTTCTGCCCGGCCGCGTGCTGGGCAGGGGGGCGCCTTTGGTGTCGTGGTCGCTGCGCCAGCCGCGCCGCGCCGCAAGACGAGTTTGCCATCAAGGTGGTCGCCTGGCCGGCGGACGTGGACGCGGCGGCGCTTGCCGAGGTGCGGGCGCTCGCGTCGATGCCCCCGTCCGACGACTTGCTCCGCTACTACACCCCACAGCGATATCCGCGTCGCCGACGCCGTCACCAGGTTTTGAGCCCTGGTATGGTTGGTCTGTGAGACGTTTCGCACGCTACCGTACGGTACTTAACATGTGTACTGGAAGGAAGGCAGCCACACTTGAGCAACGCGTGTGGCCATCCGGGGGCTCGCGTGGCGGAGTCTAGCACGTTTCACAGCATGCGCGTCACTCAGAACCTTGCACCCAGTGCGTTGCTGATCAGTGAACGCGTCAGCCCCGCCATCGAGGCACCAACCATTGTCCAAATTCTCTTAAACCCATTTGCATATTTTTAGGACAATCGTCACTGGTTACCTTTTTTTACCAATGTTACCAATGTACTAAAATTCTTTTCGTCCCGTGCCCAGTCCTGTGCATGCCCAGTAAAAAGAAAGAAAGAAAACAGACAACCCAAGGGAGGGATGGGAGGATGCACAGTGTTGTGCGAGGGAGTTCGCTCGTAAAAGAAAGAAAGAAAGAAAGAAAACAGACAACCCAAGTTGACTCGTAAAATTCTTTTTCGCGAAATTTAAATTCTTTTTCGTGCATGCTCTGGCTGCCTTTGGTTTGTTGTGTGTATGACGGCCACCCGCCTGCTGCGCTCGTGCGTTGAGACCCTCATGGGCATCGTGCTCTTGCCAGCACTCCTTTTGATTATGTTTCCATTCCATCTCGTTGTCTCACCACTCATCGCGCTCGGCCTCTGCAGCTCCGACGCTGCTGTCGGCGTGCCTCCCGCCCTCCTCGCCTGGCGTTGCCTTCCATATCTGATTCTGATGGTGCTCTTCGTCGACCTGCCAATCGCCATCTTATTCTTCCCGACACATCTGATCGAGGGTCTCTTCCTCCGGAACCCCCTCATCCTCGCCGTCTACAACCTCTGGCGACGCGCCTCACAGCTCCCCTACCACGTGCCGACGCTCCCCGACACCGAGTCCGGTCTTCAAGCTCGCGAACGGTCGCGCGCAAACACCAATGACGGCGCCCGCTACCGCGAGCACGACTCCATCTGGGCTGCCCTCGAGGGCGACGGCGACAAGGTCCGGCCGGGCGATGTGCGGCTGATCAGTCTGAACTGGCTCATGGCGCTGGCAGAGCGGGGCGACGTGCTCCCGCGGCGGCAGGACCTGCCAGAGGAGGCCTTCTTAAGCTCTGCTCAGCTGAGGCGGATCGAGAAAGGCGCAAGGCGCGGCTTTGACCTCGCCGGCTTTGCGGAAGCCTTGCAGCGCTTCGGCAAGGAGCCCTCCCCCTCATCCTTTCTCGGCTTTATCGCCAGCTTTTTCGGCCGCAAGCGCAACCCAGACCGGCTGCTTCCCGTCATCTCCGTCTCCTACTGCTGGCTTGAGGCGGCGCATCCAGACCGAGAGGGCCGCCAGCTCCAGCTGCTCTCCCGCAAGCTGCGGGGCCTCTACGGCGGGCGCGGCCTGCTCGGCGCGTGCCGCGAGTACGGCTTCTCGGACATGGTGAGCTGCCTCCCGCGCCTCATGCCCACCATTACTCCCTTCCTCACCGCCACTCCTCTCCTGGCTCGCGCAGGGCGTGTTTCTGGACTGGAGCTCGGGCTACCAGAAGGACCCGGCGCTATTTGCCGAGCGGCGCGCGTATGAGGCGAGCCGGTCGGGCGAGCAGAAGGCCGCCTTCGGTCGCATGCTGGAGAACACGATGGTGAGCACACGCCAGCCCCTTTCCCAGCCCGATAGCGCCACAACATGCACCGCTCTCACGGCACGTTGGCTTTACATTCCGCGTTAGGACCTCTGGTACGCGCACGCCTCGGTCACGGTCGTGCTGCTCACGCAGCTGCCAGACGAGCTGCCCGCCGGCTTTGACCGGAGCCGGACCTACGACACTCGCGGCTGGACGACATTCGAGCGCTGCTCCGCAGAGCTGGGCGCAAAGCCCTCTACGCTGGGCTTTGCCAAGTGGAAGCTCGTCATCGACGTCGCCAGCGGCGACGGCGGCGCTCAGCGGCGGCTCCCCGCGACTCCAGAGCGCATGGCGACGCTGCTCGCCGCTTGCCGCTTCACCAACGGCGCGGACTCGGCGACCGTGCTGGCGCTCTACGAGAAGACGGCGAAGGCCGTGCTGGGCACGGTCGAGAAGCTCTACTACATCGGTCTGCCGCTCGTGCGTGGCGACGCGTGGACTAGCCCGGCGCTGCTGGCGGAGGCGCTTAACTATTGCGAGAGCCTCCGGACCCTCTTCCTAGTTGGGAATCGCCTCGACGACGAGGGCGTGGCGGAGCTTGCGGCGGGGCTCGAGGACGGCGCGCTCCCGGCGCTTGAGTCCCTCGACGTTACGGCAAACCGTTTCGGCGCGCGCGGCGTCGGCGCGCTCTGCGGCGTGTTCCATCGCGGCGTGGCGCCGACGCTGCAGATGCTCGACGTCAGTATCACGCCTATTGGCGATGAGGGAGCCGCGGTGTTAGCTGAGGCACTGGCGACGGGCGAGCCGTCGCATGGGCTGGCCTTGTCGTGCTGCGACGTGGGCGACGAGGGCGCGATGGCACTCGCGGCTTCCCTCCCGGCCGCGGGTCAGGGATGTCGCGTGAACGCCACGTTCAATCGGATCGGCCTCGCGGGCCAGGCGGCACTACTGGAGGCGCTCGAGGCGAAGCACGGGCCGCAGCCGGGGCACGCGATAGCGGGGGCGCAGATGAACTTGCTTCCCTGGTCGTACCCGCTCGTGCGCGCGTGGGGGCGAGGCTGGCGCCGTGTGGCCGAGAGCGGCCGAGTCACCATATGAGGCACACCTTATTTGAAACAGACAACCCAAGGGAGGGATGGGAGGACGGCACGCCGCCAACACACAGGGATTTTAACATATCGTTAGTGCCACTGCAGCGCAAAAAAATTTTTTTCGCTCCCCTGCTGGCACTCTCCGCCCCTAGCCCCGCCCTCGGCGGCCGAGAGCGAGCTCGAGATGAGCGACACAACAAGAAGGGTAGAAGGCTGCCGCCCGCTCGCACAGCCTCCGGGGCGGGCTGCCTCGCGTGGACTGCCTTGGCGTCCTCATCCTCTACACCCTCCCTCAGGGTACGATTGTGAGCGCAGCCGCTCATAGTCCTACATACAAGATGTAGGATTGCGAGCGCTACTGCTCGCAATCGGAGGCATGTTGCTAGGATTGTGAGCAGTGCTGCTCGCAATCCTAGACTTTGCTCGGATTGCGAGCGCGCTAGTAGTCGTAGGCGTCACCAGCCACCTTGGGAGCGAAGCTGCTCGTAGTCAGGCGCTCACAATCGCACAGAGATGCTACGATTGCGATGACTGCTGCTCACAATCCTTCGACTTCTAGGATTGAGTATAGGGTGCCCACAGGACCCAAAAAAAGAAAGGAAAACAGAAATGGGGCACTCCCGATCGCAGCACTTCATGTTGGATAGTCGAGATATTGAGAGTGTGACTAGGAGGGTGGGACGCTGGGGATTCTCAAAGGTATACCCTTGGAATGGCCGGATCCAGCCTTAACAGTACGAGATCGCGCGCGCTTCGCGCACAGCACCGCCTGTTCTCCACGGCTGTGTGACGACGCGTGCCGTGTGCCAGCAGAGTTGGGCGCGCGCGGCGCGACGGCGCCCGCGAGGGAAGGCGCGGGTGCAGCGGCCGCCGGCGGCCGTGCCGCCCGCCAGCCGGCGCAGCAGCGGCCAGCGCAGCGGCCGCCGGCGCAGCAGCCAGAGCAGCCGGTGCGCGCCTTGCGAGGCGAGTACTGCCGCCCGGCAGCCTTGAGGCGGCCGGGCGGCAGTACTCGTTCGAACTCTGCGAGCCGTGCGCGCGCCGAGGCGCCCGCGGGGCTGCCAGTAGGAGGCGGCGCAATATGGCCTATAGTACAGCCCTTAGGAGGAGGAAGAGGCTGGCTGGCAGTGCTGTATGCCGCCGTGGGGCAGTTTTGGGGTGCTGTCCCCATCCCAGGGGGCTGCAGAAGGCGTCCGCAACCGGGACAACCCGCCCCCCCAGCCGAGGCCGGTCGAAGCCCACTTGGAAGCAGCCATGAGGAGTCCTCTTGGTGCTCCTGGCGGCCGTTGGAATGGCGAGCGCGCGCCGATGGGGGGGGGGGGGGGTCTTGCTTGCTCCACACCGAGCGCCATCGGTCCGGACCGGTGCTTCCACCGAGGGGTGGCCTGCACAAGGTCTGAGCCGCGGGCGCTCGGCGCCAAGTGCAGTGTCACGCTCGCACGCGAAGGGGACACAATGGGAAACCCTCGTTGCCTATGACCTCGGTCCCCCAACGGAAGAGGCCTCGCTCCTATTGGAACACTCCAACATCAGATTTGCCTCGTGCGTCCCTTTTTGAGTCGGAAAGCTATTTTCTTTTGGGTCCTGTGGGCACCCTAAATTGAGAGCGAGGCTGCTCTCAATCCTAGCCGTCTAGAAAAGAAGGTTCACCGCCAGTGCGCGCCAGTCCCGTGCCCAGTGTTGTGCGAGGGAGCTCAGGAGTAAAATTCTTTTTCTTGGAGTCGCTTAGGCGGCTCCCGTGGTGTACCTGTGTTAGTGCCAGTGAGTGCGCGCCAGTCCCGTGCCTAGACCCTAGTGTCGGCCGAGGGAAATTCTTTTTCTAGCACGCGCCAGTTCGCACCTGTGTCGAGTCTGTCTGCTGTGTGAGAGAGTTATTTTCGCGAAATTCTTCTTTTTCTTGCACCCCTCTTGACGGCGCCGGGGTGGTCTAGCTGCCTCTCCCGCCCGATCACATCGGCTCCGATCTGATCTGATGCTGAGTGTCCAGTCCGACAATCAGCAGCCGCAATTCGTCGCGCTTCGCCGCCTCGCGTGTGCCGGCACCACGGCTGCCATTGCCGCCGCCGCGACCAACCCTGTGGAGGTGATCCGAGTTCGCTTTCAGCTCGAATCGGCTGCGACACGGCCGCCGTCCGTCTATGACTTTGCTCTCCGCCTCGCCCGGGATGAAGGCTTGGTGCGCGGGCTGATGCAGCCCGGCGTCTCTGCTTGGATGGCGTCGATGGGCGTCGCCTTCAGGCCGACCGCTCGCACCGACCACCGCATCCCCGTCTCACCACTCAAATCGTCCCTTGAAATAGCTGCCGCATGGTGCTGTACGAGCCACTTCGCGACGCCATCGAGGGCGCCTCAGGCGTCTCTACGCCGGCGACCGCCTTTGCGGCGGGCCTCTCGACGGGTGCTCTCACAAACAGCCTCGCCTGCCCCTTCTTCAACGTCAAGGCGCTCCAGCAGTCCGCCCCTTCCTCCTCCTCCTCCCTCGCCGCGTCGCTGGCGTTGGTCAGCCGCTCCGCCGGATGGGCGGGCCACTACCGCGGCGTGTCCGCGCTCTTCGTCCGGTGAGTGCTGTCCATGGGGGCCATACACACATGCCTCGTCCGCCGCCCGCCGGATTCGCGCCCGTGACCGCATTCCCTGCCACCCTCTCCAGTGGCGGCGCCCTCTCCGCGGGCCAGCTTGGAGGCTACGACGCAGCGAAGGCGTGGCCGCCCTCGCCTCGGCCTTCGCCGCCTCCCCGCCACCCTCACTCCTCCTCCGCCCCTACCCAGCGCGCCGTCCGCGCCAACGGACTCGCCGAGGGCGCCGGCACACACGTGCTCTGCTCCCTCCTCGCCGCCGGCTGCGCCGCCGTGCTCTCCCTGCCGCCGGACATCGTCCTCAACAGGTACCAGGGCGCGCCCGCCGTCGGCGCGCACTACAGCAGCGTCGGCGACTGCGCCTCCCAGCTCGTGAGGAGGGAGGGGGTGCTGTCGCTCTGGCGCGGGCTCGGCCCGCAGTACGCCAAGCTGGCGCCCATCTTTTTGATGACGCTGCCGCTCTACGAACAGCTCCGCCGGCTGGCCGGGCTGGGGTACTTGCGCTAACGCCGCGAGCGAGCGGGACGTCCGGGGCCCAGTCAGTGCCGCCCACCGATGATGGTTGGCGGCGCCGAGTGCAGCTGCCCGTCCTTCGGGCTCGAGCCCCGCAGCCCTGGCACAAGGAAAAAAAGCTTGGTCCCGTACCCTGCGGGAAAAAAATCCGCCTGTTGAGACTTGACCCAAGCTCGCGATGTCCACCCCGCCGCGCCGCCGCTCGCGCCGCCTCGCCCCCGCCTCCACCGCCGCCCCCTCGCGCCAGACACGCCGCCGCCCGCCCGCCTCCTCGACCTCCCCGGGGAGCTCCTCGAGCGCGTTCTCTCCCGCTGCGACAGCCCCGTCGACATCGCTCGCGTCGCGGCCGTCTCGCGTCTCTTTCGCCTCGCTCGCGGAGCAGGGCATGCTGCTGGCGCAGCCAGCGGGCGAAAGCTTCGCCTTGCGGTGGCCGTGCCATTCTGCGCTGCTGCGCGACTACACCCCGCCGGCGAGGGCGGCGGCAGGCAAAACGCACAGCGTCTTCATTGACGGCGAGGGGCGGCTCTCGTCGTGCGGCTCGGCGGATGACGTGCCAGGCCTCCTCGGTCACGGCGAGGGCGTGACGCGGCTCAACACGCCGACCCGCCTCCCCTCTTCGCTGGGCGACGAGCGTGCCGTGAGCGTGTCGGTTGGGTATTGCCACAACCTCGCCTTGACCGCCGACGGTTTCCTCTGGAGCTGGGGCGTTGGAGTCGCTGGCCGGCTGGGCCACGGCGACGCGCACGAGCGAGCGTGGCAGCCCAAGAAGGTCGAGGCTTTTGCTGGTCAGCGTGTCGTTGCCGTGTCTTCTGGAGAGTACCACAACCTCGCCATCACCGCCGACGGCTCCGTCTGGAGCTGGGGCGTTGGACTCTTTGGCCGGCTGGGCCACGGCGACCAGCAGGCCCAGCTGCTGCCGAAGAAGGTTGCTGCCTTTACGGGGCGGCGCGCTGTCGCTGTCTCGGCTGGGACCCACCACAGCCTGGCCCTCACCGCCGACGGCAGCGCCTGGAGCTTTGGCTGCGGTTGGAACGGCCGGTTGGGCCACGGCGACACGCAGACCCAGCTGCTGCCCAAGAAGGTCGAGGCCTTGGTTGGCCAGCGCGTTGTCGCCGTGGCGGCGGGAATCGGGCATACCATCGTCATCACCGCTGACGGCGCCGGCTGGAGCTGGGGCTTGGGAGCCTCAGGCAAGTTGGGCCACGGCGACACGCAGGACCAGCTGCTGCCGAAGAAGGTTGAGGCCTTGGGGGGGCAGCGCTTCGTCGCTGTGTCAGCATCACGCAGCCACAACCTCGCCATCACCGCCGACGGCGCCGTCTTCACCTGGGGCAATGGAGCCCAATACCGGTTAGGCCACGGCGACGAGCAGACCCAGCTGCTGCCCAAGAAGGTCGAGGCCTTTGCTGGCCAGCGCGTCGTCTCCGTCGGGAGCGGCCCACAACATCGCCCTCACCGCCGACGGCGCCGCCTTCACCTGGGGCAAGGGCAACACCGGCTGCCTAGGCCACGGGGAGGACCTGTCGAACCAGCTGCTGCCCAAGAAGATCGAGGCGTGGGCGCTTGAGCAGTGAGGTATCGGGGGCTCTGTTCAATGTGGAAGACGGCTCTTGCTAGTGTCCCCCATCGGGAGGACGACCCCGGCTAGTCGCCGACCACACCCACAAAGAGCCCTGCACAAAGATCGCACGGGCGGGGATCTGTACTTTTTTACCCAGATCTCACAGTAGAGAGGTGTCCGTTTTTATTTATTTATTTTCCCGCAGGGCTTGCAATCCCCGTACTTGGCTCTCTCCAGCCTCTATTCTCACTCCGCATCGTCCTCCGGCGGCAGCACCTCAACGGCAACACTACCGCCCTCGACACTAGAGACGCCGCCGTCGCCCGGCGGCCGGTTCATCGAGAGCCGCTCGTCGTTGAGCACGTCGAGGCCGGGCGCGAGCAGAGACGTGTACCGGTCGAAGTACAGGACCTGCTTGATGAGGAGCGCAAACTCGCGCGGGAAGCGGATCCCGTACCTGAGGGCAGACCGCGGTGGACTGAGGGGCGCAGACCAAAGGCTGCAAGAATGCAGTGCATCGCCAAAGCAGCTAGGATCCGGCACCCCTCGGCGACGCGCGCGACGGCAGCGACCGCGCGGTTCAGCTGCGTCTCGTCGATGGCGCTCGCGGCGGCGCCCGCGCTCGCGGTGGTCGCGATGTCGGCGGTCATGCTGTCAATCGAGGCGATGACCTCGCCGATGTCCTTTGCGAAGGCGGCGGACTGCTCTTCCGAGAGCTCCTTGGTGAAGCCCATCTTCTCGAGCGCGCGGCCGACGCCAGCCATGTCGCCCGCCGGGAAGGAGCGCACGAAGTCGAGCATCCCCTCCGCGGTGGCGGCGGGGATGGCGCCGACGATCCCAAAGTCGATGAAGGCGACCCGGCCTGCAGGGAAGCTCCGAGAAGGGTCCACACACACAGGCTTCACATAGTCCGCCGGTGAATCCGACGCGGCTCGAGGGACGAGAAGGAGGGCGAGAAGGAGTGGTCTCGTCCGAGAGTCGGCTCAAAGCTCGGCTAGTCTCGGGGCGAGTCTCCGCTACTCTCGGCCGTCGGTGAGGACGAGCAGGTTGCCGGCATGCACGTCTGCGTGGAACCACTCGTTGGTCAGCACGCTGCTCACCCACGTGTTTAGCGCGACGATGAGCGCCAGCTCAGGCTGCGGCTGGTACTTGCGCACCTGTTGCGTTCAGCACCCGCCACTCTGGCTCGGTGTCTCGCCACCTCCGGCCAAAGACTCGCGCACCGACTCGAGGTCGATGAGCGGCACTCCGTAGAGGCGCTCGAGCGTGAGCAGCCGCGAGGCGGAGGCGGCGCGGTACACCTTGGGCACGGTGACGACGCCGTCCAGCTCCGGCGAGCGAGCGAGGAACTCGGCGAACTGCTCCGTCCGCTGCGCCTGCGGGAGGGTCCTAGACGGTTCAGAGACGGGGGAGGAGCTCGGCGAGCTAGCTGCGTGCGCTGCGCCTCGAGCACGAAGTCGATCTCCTATTCATCCACACGTGAGGCGGGTCCTTCCGTGCTCGTCGCGTCTCGCTGCTGCCGCGAGCGCAGGTCTAGTCTCTCCTCGAGGATCGCCGAGCGAAGGGTCGCGACCACGTCCGAGAGCTCGGCGGTCACGACGCCTGCAGGGCGGCTCCGAGAGGTGTTCCTGGAGGGCAGGCGAGGGGCGTTCCTCCGAACCGCTAGTGCGGTCGCTGCGCCGAGGAGCTGCAGCACGCGCGCGTTCGCATAGAGCAGGTCGAGGTCCGCCTTGAGGGGTAGGGTCAGGGTTAGGGGTAGGGTTATGGTTCTGGGTATGGTTAGGGGTAGGGTGGGGTGAGAGCAGGTCGAGGTCCGCCTTGAGCGACCCTTGCACGCCCTTCTTCTGCACCTTGAGAACGACGTCCTCCCCGCTGAGCAGCCTGGCCGCGTGCACCTGAAGACGAGGAAGAAGAGAGGGGCGACGGAATGTGCTCGGGATCCCCGCCTTGCCACGCACGGGTCTTCGACCGCTAGCCCCGGCCAGTCGGATGAGCGGTGTGATAGGGCACTGTGCCGCGCTCCGGGCCGTGGCCAGCGGGGTGCACCTGCGCTATCGACGCGGCAGCCAGAGGCGTCTCGTCGACCGACGCGTAGACCTGGCCGATGGGACGGCCGAGCTCCGCCTCGACGATCTCCTTGACGTCGGACCTATGCGGAGGGCTCCGACGAACCTTCCTAGAAGAGACCCGACCTCCGCCTCTGCATGTGTGTATGCTCTGCTCTGCACCACGGCATCGGCGGCGTCGCGTCGAGACATTTTTGGAACTCCTGCACGTACTCGGGCGGGAAGAGCGTCGGCGACGACGCAATGAACTGCCCGAGCTTGACGTACGTCGCACCAAGCTCCTCGCACATCCGCCGCAGGATCACGGGCGGCTCTGGCGCAGCTGCGGCCGAGGAAAGGCCCTGCACCGTCTCGGAGCCGACGACGCGGACCGCACGCGCAAGGTCGAGCGAGCGCCGGACGACGACCTGCGGGTCCTGCTCGAAGGCGAGCTCCAGCAGCTCCCGCTGCAGCTCGCGGGCCTCTGCGGAGCTGAGCCGCTTCAGCGTCTCGATCGGCGAGGGCAGGCTGAACGACGGCGCAGAAGAGGCGGCGAGGCGCGCCGCGGCCCGCGGTGCCGGCGGACGGCTGGTCGTGAGGAGGCTGAGCCCGAGCGCCAGGGAGAGCAGGGAGAGCATTGTCTGGTATAGCCCGAGGCTGCTCGAGGGAACTTTCGCGGAAAAATAGGTAATCGCGCGCGCAGGTGTATTCTTTTTTTGCTTGTGGGGCGGACAGCATGATGAAAATTCTGGAAAACCCTGACCGGCCCCTGCCCTGCCCCTACCTACCTACCTACCTACCTACCCTACTTATGGGAAACAAAAAAGAAATCACGGGATTTGTGAAGGTTACTACAAGTACTCTACCAACTAGAGTGATGGCTGGTGGTACTCTCCTGCAACCACAGTCCTTCCTGTATAGTGGCAGGCCACTCTCAAGGCCATACAAGCATCAGATCACCAAGAAATCACGACTCTCACAGTGATTTGGGCTAAGAGCTGTTCGTTCTCAGGGTGGCATCCCCGTTCACGCCTACACACGGGTAATCAACCCCGCTCCCCCATGGACATGAATCGCCGAACTTGAAGGGCGGGCGCTTGACGAACCAGGGGCGACTCGCCGCTTTCCTCCCGCCTAGCCTCCCGCTGTGATTCTGTGTGAGCTCTGTGTCTTGTTTTGCCAACAATAGCTAAGGGGGAACGGGCGTGGCAACCACAACCACGTCGGGAGTGGTTGTGGCAACTCATGATCGAACCAGCGACTCATAGTCGGAACCACGACTCATAGAGTCGATCGGGACCACGGCGAACGTGGTAGTGGCAACCAGTTGGGCACGGCGGACGTGGTTGTGGTAGGTCATGATAAAACCGGAAAGGAATAATAGAAGCCACCCCCACGACTGAAAAGTCTTAATGGACCTGTCCTAGACTCTGTCTGTGTGGCTGAAGTAGCGTGTGTGCGTCGAAGCCACAAGAGGGCTGGCATAGCCCGAGAATTGGTCAAGAGGGGGGTTGGCACTTGGAGCACTTAGAGTGCAGTCATTAACCGCACATCCAGGGCCAGGGAGCTAATAAGCGCACCCAGCGGGCCGGATGATTGGCATCGGGTTGCGGCGGGCAAGAGAGAGGCGCCGCCCGCAACGCCCGCCGCCGCCTCGCGCCGCCCCGTCATAACGGTACGTGCAAATAAATAAATAAAAACGGACACCTCTCTACTGTGAGATGGGTAAAAAGGAACAGGCCCCCGCCCTTGCGATCTTTGTGCAGGGTTCATGCCGGGAAAAACCTTTGAATTGCAGAGAGATAAAAAAAAATTGCGTTTTACCTGCGAAAGACACTACTCTCCCCCCCCCGTCACTTGTCCCCCTTGGCGTGGCGCGCCTCTCCCCCAGCTCTCGGTATCGCGTACTGCACGAGGCTACCGTGGGCCCCGCCTGCGCGCTGGGGGTTCCCTGCCCTGTCGGGAAGCCTAGCTCTGAACCTGGGGTCGCTACCTAATGCGGGGCTCCTGGACGGGTGATGAAGTTCGCCTTGAATCTCTCGTCTCGCTTTCCCCCCTACTCGCGTCCATCGGGGGTACTCCCTGCCTTGGCTCTCTGATCTCCCCCCCCCCCCCCCCCCCTTTCCTTTCCGGGATGAGAAGCGCGCTGCTGTCCCTAAAGGGGGGTCGGGTGGTGGGGGAATTGATTAGGCTTCGTGTTGTTAGCGGTCGCCCACGGACGATCGCCGGAGTGGGCCGAAGGACAAAGGCTTGCCTGCGTGGGGGCCCGCGGGCGCCCACTCAGGCTCGGCCTCCGTTGTCTCAGCCTTCAGTTCACCTCTCCTAGCGCCCGGTTTTGCGTGGCGACCTTCATTTCGGGGTCGAAGGTGCTACACACACTTGCCCCCTGGGGGTCTGGCACTCGGCGTTATACCTACTGGGGTTAGGCTGTTTTTCTTTTATTTTCTGAGCCTCGGGGGGCGGGGGGGAGGGGGGAAGTGGGTCCCCGCGGTGTTTTTTCTTTCCTGTCAGTTTTCTATAACGAGCTTTTTTCTTTTTGGTTTCTTTTATGGCAGTAAAAAGAAACGGAACTTTGTCGTTTGTGCGGCAGGCGCGGGCTCGGTCGATATCCCATACTTCGACTCACATCTTCACTGCTGCGGTGAGTGCCCGGGGAGGCGCGGCGGCGGGGTGAATGAAAAGGTCTCAGAATGCACAGAGAAAGAAAACTGGTAACTTGCAGGCAGTTTCTCTGATCGGGCTGCTGGCGGTGTGAGCGCGAGACGGCGTGGTGAGGCGTGAGGCAGGCTATTGTTGTGGGGTGCGGGCTGCGTCGTTAGGCGTATGCGTGCACATGGTGCTGTATGCTGTGTACTTTGCTGTGTGTGCAGGCAGGCTGGCAGTGTGTGCTCTGTGCTGTGTGCAGGCAGACTGGACAGCGGACTGAACGGATGGCGGAGCGTGCGCGCAGCGTGCCACGCGCGCGCCTCGTGCAGTGCAGACCAGGCGCGTGGCGGCAGGGGCGCAGCGCGGAGCACGCGGGCTGAATGTTCAGAACAAGCAGGGTTGCTGTGTAGTCTGCATGCAGACTGCACAGCAGCCCTGCTCGGGTAACGTAGCGCGAGCTCGGTGGCCTGCGCGCGCGGCGTGCCGCCGCGCGCGCCTCGCGGTGAAGCGTCTTGCCGGTCGCGTCGCGCTCCGGTGCGGTATGGTGCCTGAAGAAGGTGCAGGCGCTTGTGCAATGGGCGCTGACTGCAGTGAGAGGTGCACTGCGGCGCGCGCGTCGGCGTGAGTGGTCGTGCGCCTGGGTCTGGTGGTGCGAGAGGCGCGTGGCTGGTGCGGGCGGCGCGGGCCGGCCATGGGGCGCCAGCTATTTTTTGCAGAGAGATAGGAAGAGGCGGACGACCAAGGGTGGGCGACGGCTAGCGCATCACACCCCTCTCCTTAAATCCCTGTGTGGTGGCGGCGTGCCGTCCTCCCATACTTCCCTTGGTTTGTCTGTTTTCTTTCTTTCTTTCTTGCCCCGCCGGCCGGCGGACGGAGTTCAGCCGAGAGGCGAGAAGCCGCGAGAGCAAGGACCCACACACAGGCACAGCCGGAAAAACTCTAAAAGTACAAGCAAAAGAAATCGGACTGCGGCTCTTTGTCTTGACGTTATCAAGACTCAGAACCAAAAGCTCACCGAGAAGGCCGCGGTGAGGCTCCTCACGTGGTGCCAGCAGCCCGCCGGGATGTACAGCCCGTCCCCCGGCCCGAGGACGGCCTCGAGGCCCGCGGCGCGCGCATAGTCGGGGAACCGCTCGAGGTCGGGCGCCTAGGGGCAAGAGTCGGGGCTCTCCCCCGCGAAGCAGCCTCTCCGCCGCATCGGGCAAGAGCCCCCGCGGGTTGCGCAAGGCCCATCCAAGGGCCCACACGATGCACGCGGCGGGGGCGACTGCTGGCGTGGTTGCGTGTGGCGGGTGTGGCGGGCGCCTCGACGTCGACGGCGCTCACGTTGCCCTGCGCGTCGACGCCGCCGCCGCCCGCCTCCTTTGGGTAGAGCCACTTTGTCTGCTCGGCGGGGAAGAGGACGACCCGCTTGTAGCCGACCACCTGCGGCGGGAAGGTTCCAAGAAACGTCATGCGGGGGGAGGTCGGATCGGCGAGGCAGGGGTGGTGGTGTGTGTGTGTGTGTGTTTGGGGGAGGGGGGGGGGCGTCCGAAGCGGTGGGCTTGCGCGCTGGCGCGGAGAGCCTGGGTGAGCACGTTGTCGTACGAGTCGAAGTGGAGCGGCGTCACCGTCCCCTCCGGCCCGAGCCACGCGTTGGTGTGCCTGCGACAGCTCCCGGCGGGGGTCAGAGAAGGGTCACGGCAAGCTCCTGTGTGGCAGCCCTCCTCGCGTGTGCGCGCCGGACGGAGCCGCCGCCCGCCGTGCAGAGCTCCGGCACGCGAAAGTCACGCCGCAGCCGCGGGATCTGCTCAAAGAGCGGGTGCTGCGCAAGGTAGCCAGTCCGCGCCTCGCCGCCGCCCGCCGTCTATCCCGGAGGCGCGGGTCGGTGATGGTGGCGGCCGTGGCGAGGGTGGAGGCGGAGAGGGCGGCCGTGGTGGTGGTGGTGGTGGTGGTGGTGGGGTGGCGGTGGCGGTGAGGGAGTCAGTGGCGCGGGTGGTGGAGGGCAGTTGTGGTTGTACGGGTGGTGGCGAAGGGTGGCGGCGGCGAGGGGTGGCGGCGGCGAGCGCGCCACGTGCGCGTCGAGAAAATCGCGCAAGCTCATGACCTATTCGCAGCTGGTGGTGTGGAGGGGCATCGGTCACAGCGCTGAGAAGTCGCGCCCGCTCAACACCCGCTCGCCCCACGCCGCCGCCCCTCCCCCGCCGGCCGCTCCGCCCCCGGCGAGCGAGCCAAGCTCGACAGGCACCAGCCGGCCCCCAAACTCGTCGCGCAGCCACGAAAAGTCGGCCCACCTGGGCTCACGGCGGCGCAGTGGGGCCAGGGGCGGCAGAGAAGACGAGATGAGACGAGATGAGACAAGGCGAGGTGAGGCGAGACGAGACGAGGCGAGACGAGAAGAGACGAGAAGAGGCGAGAAGAGACGGGGGCCGAGGGGACACTCCGACGGCCGGCCACTGAACCAGC